AAAGAAGGCTCGCAAAGTGTCCAATGAAAGTGAAAGTCATTTCTTCGCAGTGATCACTTCAAAAACGTTGAAAGAACAGCTTTACTGATTGTTCTAGCTGCCTGTTCAAGCAATAAATTGCTTGAAATTAGGTCAAATGATAGACAGATTAGCTTAAAAAATTCTTTTTTTTGTTTACAGACAATTTTTTGAGGAAAACTTTTAGAAAAAATTATTTGCGATTGAAAATAGCAAGATTTTTGTCGAGAATGACAAAAATCGAAGAATTTTTTTGTTTAAAAGTCTTTCTTTGAGAATGCTGTGAGATGGGTAACTGAACTGTAAAGATGTAGCATCAGTTTTGTGATGAAAGGCGTACGACAGGAAGAGACAGATTTATATAAAGACTTAAATCAAGAAGAAAGAAAGAGCAAAAAAAAAATGACGAAACAATTTCGTTTTTGCATAAGCAAAAAATGATTCAAATAAATTAGAATAATTAAGTGATTTATTCTTTTCAGGTGTTTAATGTAGCAACATTTGAACAGGCAGTGGAGATATGTGCACAAAAAGAAAGCTTTTTGCCATCATTTGCTGATGAAGACAGTGAAAAAGCCATTTATGGTAAGTCGACAACTGCTTCGTTTTTTTTTTTCTTAATACAATTTCTCTCGGCAGCCGTAACCAATGCTTTATAATAACGTTTTTGAATACTAAAACTTTTCTTTGCCACCATTTCGTGTCAAATTATCCATCCTCTTTCTTTACTTTGCTTTGCCGCTTTTCACCACTCGTCACGGGCCACTTCCACATTTGCTTTCAATGTTACCAAGCCGAAGTAAGCGAGAGTTATAAATGTAACAGTTTATCATTAGCAAAAAAGGTAGCCAGATGTTTACTAAAAATTACGTTATTTATTCTTTTGAAACACAAACTCTCAGGAGCGATCGTAAATCTCAGACTGCTCACTCATCATTCATAGTCTTCAGACTTTCCCAAAACTTTCACCACAGTCGCTCTCAAACGTCTCGATGGCTTCCATCGCTCACATGGCACCTCTAGCCGCCTCCATATAAGCAATTTTTTCTAATTTTAGAACAATGGCGGAAGCAGATCTGAATTTTACTCAGTCATATTATGATTAACGCAGAAAAAGAACTAACAGTAAATTGTGCATAAAGAAATTGCAGCGGTCAACAACTAAGTATGCAATTGACCAACAGAAAACTTTGAAGCTTTTTAAATTAATTTATAGATCAAAAATTTAAAATTTGACCAACCACTTAAAAAATGTAAAGTTTAACACTAGGACGTGTGTCTAACGAAAATAATCTACTTAATTGCCAAGTAGATTAACCTAAAATTAGAATAAAAATTTCAAAACAAAACCACGAATAAATCTAGAGAACTTATTATAATGAACAAATTGTGAGAGATTCAAATTTGATTTCAAAGATTATAATACTTGTAAGGATGCTTTATTAAAAGTGGTTGACAGAAGTTCTAAGTCTGTCCTGCTACATTCAACGAAAATTCAGTAATAATAACTGTTTTATTTATGATTTTTTTTTACCTTTAGCTATATGAGGCCGAAAGCAAATGTGAAAGAAAGCATTGATGACCGATTTATTTTTCAGAAGAAGGTGATAAGCTAAAAAAGTTTAAGAAACAAGAACCTGAGGGTCAAGAAACATTATATTTGTGTTAACAGTTATTGAAAAAAGAACAAAGTTTTGTTTTGAAAAAAATCAAATAGATTTAACTAAACTTTTTTAAGAACTGCCGATAAACAGATTTTTTTGGATTGGAGCTGTAAAAAGTAATGATAGTTGGAATTGGATGGATGGTACCCAGATGAAATATTTCAAGAACATCACTGATATATCAAATTCTGAAACACCACCTAAAAATTCTACTCATTTACATATCGTTGTTGATCGACTACATCGCAAATGGACTATAATAAACAATAAGAATGCTCAGTTTTCGGTTTTATGTCAATATGACAGTACGTCTCTGACATTAGAGCATTTTGATACATCTAAATTGAGTATTAAAAAGTTGCAAAATTTGCTTGTTATCAGTGCTGTGAAAGTACCTCATCAATGACGTTAGCATTGGTAAACATTGGATGAGGAACACTGAAAATAGCAGCCTAAAAAAAAAAAGATAAAAAACTTAAGAATAATACTTTAATGATTATAAGAAAGTTTCGTTAAGCACTGGAAGCCTTTCAAAACGGTAGTGCAACAAGCTTTAGCAAAACTTTTTACAACATTTTCAGTTTTTCTATCTTCTTTACCTTTAACTCTTTTCACCTTATTCCAATATTTATTACTTCCTCTCATCCATTTTCTATTGAATCCCTAAATAAATTACTTATTTGTCTTCGTAAAAAAATTTCTTTTTAAAAGCAGTTTAGTCAGTCATACTGCAGACAATTATTGCTGCAGTAACATTAT